AATGTGTATACCAAAGACACCAGTAGCTGAAAGTATATTCCTGATTGTACTGACCAAATAATGCCTAAATCAATGCAAGTTGTACAACCTCGCACTGATAGTACAATAAAGCCAAGCCCCATGTATTCCAGAATTCCATCCCCAAATAAGGAGAGAAATTTAGATCTGTAACTATTTTTATTTTTAGCATCTCTATGTTGTCCTGTATATATGTGTGTGTGTATATAGCAGAAAGCCAGTTTGGTTAAGACATCAGGCTAGAAACCGGAAGACCATGAGTTCTAGTCCCACCTGAGGCACAAAGCCAGCTGGGTGACCTTGGGTCACTTTCAGCCCTAGGAAGGAGGCAACGGCAAACCATTTCTGAAAAACTTTACCAGGAAAACTGCAGGGACTTATCCAGGCAGTCTCTGAGAATCGGATACGATTGAACAGATTAAAAAAAAAATCCTACAAAACCAGGTTTTCTGAGTGACATATATTAAAAACACACCAGAGGGGGAAAAAACAGCCCTAGTCTCTCTGTGTGATCCCTTGAATCTAATCTTTCCTCCATCTGCTGTTCTCAGAATTCCTTTTTGGCATGGCTTAAAGCGGTCCTACTGTTTGCCTTCCCGAAATTTTCAACACTTACTGGCTTCTGGCAAGCATCTTGTGCCCTGTCCCAGAAATATCCTTTCTCACAACCTGAGAACATGGATACAATTAAAAGCTCCAAAGGCATGAACTATAGGGACAGGCAACAGGGCTGAAGTGCATCAACAGATATTTTCCTTAGCTCACAACAGATTTCTGCCCCACCTGACTCTTAAAAGTTATTTTAAAAAGAATTAAATGAGAAGTCAGCTTGCTGTCCAATAAAGCCCGAGCATCTAGCACTGATTGCATGTCTCTGGCCCACACTAACCACACAAGCATTTGAAGAAAATAAAAATGGTGGATCACTGCAGCTCAGTGCTTCATTTGCTAGTGTGAACGCATGCCTGTCCCCTTTCCCCAAAAGAGAAAGGCAAAATGAGGCAGTAGTAAACATCCCATGAGGCTAGAAAAAATAGTGAAGAACTGCAGCATTTTGCATTCTGGTTAAAATGGGTATTTCATGATCGGCTACAACACAGCCATTTTCTGAATGCATAAGCACACCCATGACAACATTTGGCACCCACATAACACCTCTGCTCACTGGCTGATGAGTTGCCTACTTCTGTGCTACAATATAGATAGGCCAACTGCTGCCTATAACACACAATACCATAAGTTAGAGCTGGAATTATAAACATGTTTCAAAGAGTTTGCTGCTCATTCCCTTCTATGAAACTTTGATTTACAGAGCAAAACAAAAAAAGGGGGGGGGGGCACTAAATATAGTACCAAAGAACTTTTCAATTATTTGTCCATTTCTTCTATGAACAGCCCAGTCTTCTGCTGGGACACTAGATAAAGCAAAGAAAAAGAGAGATTGTATTAATGAATAACCTATGTCAAAGTATCCAACATGCACAAGTAGTAAAGCATTTTCAGAAGATAAGTAACATTGTGTTAAGCCCTGGGTTTCTTAACCATGTTGCTAAGGAAACAACTGGCTACGTTCACATAAAATGTTTTGGCAAAACCAAGCAATTTGTGTTGGCTTAGGACCAAACGTGAACCCAGTGAAAGGTCTGCTTACAGTTGCAATCTTCTATTCACTTACTGGGGAATAAGCCTCAAGGGGCTTACTTCTGAACAGAGATAAAAGAATTGTGCTAAAAAAAAAAATTCAATCCAACCTATCACCTTTTTTTTAATGAAAAACAAACCTGTAATGACTTTACTCTTGCACCAAGAATTACCACTTGAGTTCTAAGGCACAAGGCTGCAGATTTTATGCAACCTTTTATGAGTTGCATTCCTTTACTCTGTCATTGTCTCTTCTCCACTAATTTCAAGACTTGGAAAGTGTTTATTTCTTTAACCAAAGATACATTAGGAAAGTGGTATTGTTGTACCTCAACAGAAGCAGAGTATAAATTGGTAGGTGATGCATCTCATGGGGCTTAGTGTGGCATCTATCTACATATATACCCTTGCAATTCACCATGGAGCAAGGAATCCGAGGCGGCAAAAATTACTCAGTTTTGCTTCCATGAAATTCATATACTATATCATGACTGGTATACTTTATACATTATTTACATCTTGAAAATAAAATAAGGCTCCCACATTAACACACCAATATTAGGGCGCCATCTGCTTTTAAAAGATTCTTCCAAACTTCAGGTAAGCTCTCTGACCCTCTTCCTGATTTCATTCCAAGTCCAGAGGCTCCAACTTCCCCAAAATTAAACTGCCATTAAGATATTATACACAGTTGCTGTTTTGGGAGGGAAGGAATGGGACTGAACCCTGAGGGAGCTTTGCCGTAGTTGGCAGCACTAGCAGGATTAAACTGCTGATGTCAAAAAGTTAAGCCACACCAGACATGGTGAATATTTCTAGACCAGGAAGAAATTCCACAGCTGTAATTAGATGAGGAGTAAAGGCAGCGGCAAACTACTTTCATACCGTTTCCACAAAAAAATAATTGGACCTGTCCATCAAAGACCTCAGGTCAAGATTTTATCTTAACTTGTCCATGAGTCTAGGTAATGTGAATATCTTCAATGAATCTCAGATAGCTTTAGTAGTATCAGGAGCTATTGTTTTAAATAAATTGCTGCCAGCATATATATCACTATCCTGTACTGTGGTACCATGCAAATGCCCATGGCTATACTACTGATCTGGAAATAGGTCATGTAATAACCATTTTCTCAGTCTTTTAAAATATTGCATGGTGCTTTGTAGCACATTATTGCTATATTTGTAAAACAGTGTATATTTTTCAAAACAATCCAAAATCATTATGTAGGATGTGCATTTTCACACTCACAAGGGCTAGATGGTGAATAAAAGAAAGAACAATGCTACTTTTTCTTCCATCTTTCCCTCCCCCATGCTTTTTGTTTGGGCTTCTTTTTTTACTGTGGCTTGTTTCAGGTGATCCATTTTTGCTTTAGGAAGTTTGAAAGCCTCCTCCACAATCTACACTTGCTTGGTCCCCTTTCATTAAATGAATTCCCGTCCTCAGTGGACTAACGCGGACACCTTGGTCGGGGTGGTGGTGACAATAATGGTTTAGGTTCATCAACCTAAACTAACGAGCTTCTTCCATAACTACCTTAGGCACCTTAGACTATTCTGACTTCACGCTGCTTTGTGTCCTGGCTTCTCCAAGAACCTTCCCGCTTCCGCAACATCACTGCGGCGCCCTCCTTGAACGCGGTGCGAGTGGCAAAGTAACTTTCCAGCCTGCGTCTGGACAGAAGCGCCTGGCAACTGCGCGCGAGGGAGGACGCCCGAAACTTAGCAGACGGCCTTCTTTCCTTCCTTGATGACTCTGAAAAACATTGTCCGGGGTGCTTTGCAAATCACAGGACTTGGCTAGGGCTTCCCCGTACCCTGGGCGTGTTAAACCCTTCCCCTCCAGTTCTTCTTTCCCCAGGTTAACAATCACCCGAGAGCTCGCAGCAGCCTTAGCACGTTACCGGCCGGGCGGTTAGCTGATGGGCTTAGGCGGCGAGGCGAGCGACCCGCAGCGCTTGCCCTCTCGGCGCCGTCAGCCATATTGACGCGGCCGCCGGGGAGGGACCGGGAAGGGCACGCCCAGGGAGAGAGCCAAAGCGGCTGGAGCAGCCGTGCCGCAGCAAAAGCCGCTCGGCCCGCTTGAAGAGGGAGGACGCGCCAACGAGGTAAGGCCGCCGAGGGAACCTTCTCTCTGCAGGTCGCCAGCGCGGGCGGGAAAGGGAAGCAGGTGGGGCCCAAAGGACTCGAAACAGCTTCGGGAGCTCTCGCCTCCGAGGCGGGAAAGGGGGAGGAAGCGCTGGGGGCGGACGCGGCTTTGGTCACAGGTGCCGCGGCGGGGGATTCCCGCGTTGCGCTTCTCTCTCGCAGCGAATTTGGTCTTTCTCAGAGCGGGGTTCGCGCCTTCTCTCTTCCTTTTTCGCCTTTGGAACCAACTTCGCGTTCTGTCTCCCAGGTTTGCGGAAGGTGGAACTCTTTCCCTTCCTGAGAAGCAAGTCCCATGGCGTTCAAGAAACTTTTACCCCAGGAAGCGTGCGAAAGATCGCCGCTTCCTGAAGCGTAGAGCCACGGCGGTTTTTACTCACAGGAAAGCCCCGCTTTGATTTAGGAGGACCCATATAGGTGTGAATGGAATTGCGGGCCTCTTCAGGTTTGCTTCAGAGATCGGCTACGAAACCCGCCGTGAATTGGCGAGCATTTCATCGCTCAATTGGTACTGGCTACTAAAAGAATTTATCTCCCCTTTCTCGAGTGTTCGTGCAGGAGCGAGCAAAGTAGACATTCTTAACTACTCCATATAAATGAAAGTGAAGGTGGCCCTCCAAAATACCAGCTAAAATACACAGTACAAAAGGAGGTCATTTGTGTCCGGGGGCGTTGAACAAAAGGGTCTTCCCCCAAACATTTAGTCGCTGAAGCAGTTTCTCTTGGAAGCGAAAAGGCTGCAGGTTACACCAGACCTACATTTTAACCTATCAGAAAATGTCTTCTTTCATGTTTAGTCCTAAGGTGCACCAGAAAGCAATCACTGGTTCCCCGCCCCCGCATTAACATAGACCCTCTGCGTGCTTTAGTCCTATATAGTATGGGTGCGTACAGCTTGCTTACTCCGGAATAGTCCTAATCAAATTTCAGCCATTGTCTTCTAAAAGAAGCAGAGTTTGAGAAATACGCGCTATTAACTGGTGCCTGAGAGGCTTAGCTCAAGTTTTCCTTCCGAGGGGTTTCGTTGATTCTCTTGTTGCTGGGATACTGGCTTTAGATACCACCCCCGAGAGAGAGGGAGAGAGTCTCTCTCTCTCTCTCTGAAGAATCTTGAAATTATAGCTGCTCTTACGGGTGTGGCTGGCAAAATGACCTTCTCTCCTTACAATTGGACTCTTTTTTTCCTACTGGGTGAGGCTGCTGGTTCTGTTTCTTTGTAAAGTGGTGGTGTTACTAAGTAATTATTGGTCATGGATGAATCATTTTTGCTTACTTAACCTGCCTAAAGCTCCTTAACCATGTCATGTGTCTTAGTTTGTCTTCCGTGGAACTATTCTATCAGATCTCCTGGAAGCAAAGAGGATATCCATAAACTGCTGTATGAATATTTGGTCTTGGATCAACAGGAAGACCTCAGGAACCAAAAATGCCGAAGCCGGTAAGTGCCTTTCCCTTTAGAGCTTTACTTTGTTTTATGATGTTTGTTCTGTTAAAGTTCCCTTTAGTATGAGTTGTAGAAATTATCATTTACAAATCTCTACTTTCATGTAAGATGTTCCTTAGGTGTCTTTCCAAGTCTAAACATGCAAAGAAAGTTATACTTCTTGATTAAAGTTCTAATGAAATTAATCATGGGTTCTTTTGATTAGGAATCTATTCCATTTTAATAGGAGTAAACCTCATTAATGCTGCAAAACTTAGCTCTGAATTGACAGGTATAAAGTTGTCAACATAGCAAAAAGCTGCAAGATTATTTTTTTTCTGGCAAGAAATCCAAGAGCGGGGGGGAGAGAGAGAGGTTTGGATGGCATAGATATGAGACTAAATAGCTTAAACTATATAAATTGTCCCTTCAGCCAATTTTTATATAAATCTGACACACTTTGTACCTTTATATCGTCTGGCTTGACAAGTTGAATTTAGATTTTGATTGTCATGAGTAAAACTTGCGACACTAATGTTGTATGAGATCTACATTTCCCTTGTGTTGTTTTTAATGTGGAAAGAACTGAATGGGGCTCTGACAAGTTGCATGAAGGTGAAAGGTAGAGTTTTGGGTTCTTAAGTAAGGATTTTGAGTAATAAGTGATAGTTCTTATGCAGGCTGACTGCAGTGCTTTGATATAGTAAAAAGGAGTGGCACATTTTGGGCTTTCTTCTTAATGATTTGTTTCAATTTGTAAAATAAATAAATGACTTAACAGGTTTCTTTCCTTGAACATTCCTTAATTTTATGAAGGGTCATTATTAGCACAATTTCAAAGACTACATTTGAGGTATATGTTCCTTATTTCTCCAGTAAATTTTCCTCAGGCTATTACTTGGCAAATGGGTGTTTTAAAATTTTTAGTTTATTAGAACTTGGATATCCCCATCTATAGTTGTCCATGTGTGGACTGTTTATTGTAACTATAATGAAATATATTGTTGTCCTAAACTTGTACTGGTTTCCTGTTGTCTCTTGAACGGACAAGAAAAATAAGGATCCCACACCATATAATTATCCAGAGTTCTACATGGCTTTTATGCATGTTCAAGTCTTGCAGCTAGATTGTGTTCCTTTAATCCATCATATGAATCTATATTTCTTAAGAATATTACAGTTGTATCTTTTTAAAAAAAAAATGTTGATGTGAAAGTCCACTGTTTCCAGATAAATTGAGAAATTCTGTAGAATATTTCATATGTTTATCAGTTTCTTCTATGATTCTTTAGTATACATTAGAATGTTTTTCTTTGGCTTTGTAAGTAGTCTTTCCTCTCACCAACACCCTGTTCCACTAATTGTATCTCACATGCTCCTTCCTTGGTATCAGTGGCATTAGCTATCATTCTTTATTGACTGACAGGAGAGAAGAACCTCTGTTCCTTTGAGTATTTTTTTCTCTGCTTATTTGGGCAAGGGGAGTGTTGGAGAGGAGTTCTATCTTTCCTCCAGAATTAGCATTTAATGACTTATCTTGAGCTCCCTAGACAGCGTACCCTATTCAGCCTATACACTTATGAAGGCTTCAACTATTCAGATGTTTCTTTTCAATCTAGCAAAATATACTGGAACACTCCTTCTGTGCATGTAATATCATGCAACATGATTTTTTTTCCTTAGAAGTAATCTCCTTTAATAGGGTTCACTGCATAACTGCACTTAGAATTCTAGCTTAGTCATGAAACTGAAAGCAATTGGCAACTGACTTTTTATTTAAAAATTCTATATACTGCTTTTACAGACAAAAAGTAGAAACTAAGAATATGCAAAATGTTCTGTTCCATGTCTAGAACACTATAAGCCACTTCTTGTCCTAAAAAAAGATTTACTTCCAGAAGGCTGCCAGACTAACCCAGGAATGGCTAGATTGGCATAGTCCAGAGGAAGTATGGAATGTTCTGGAATTCCTCAGAAGTTCCATCTCCAGAGCAGAATGTTTTGAACATCCCTACTAAAAACCCTCCTAAAGCAGGTTCTTCACATTTCTCACCCTGTAGTTCAAGTTGTAAACCTTTATATAGATGCAAATTGACAGGAATGGTTGCTGTAGTTCCCCTGTGACCTTGGACTGTGCATCTGCATTGAATGGCTGCTGTTCTAAATTACTCTTCTGCAAGTCACATGGAAGCAAAGAATGTGCTTCTCCTGCAAAATCAGTATCTAAAAAGCTGTTTAATAATGAACTTGGAATTCAGAAAGATGGCAGAGTTCATTAGCTTGACAAAAGTCAGTTTCTTCCAAGAAGATACTGCGATATTCATCTGTGTAGTTAAAGGAGCTGTAAGATACTATGTGAAGTGTGAAGATACTATATCTTACTATGCAGTGGGTTGCCTGAAAGTTCTGTTAAATTTCTATGGATGACGTATGCATTTCTTGCCATGATAGGATCATGTGAAGATACTATATCTTACTATGCAATGGGTTGCCTGAAAGTTCTGTTAAATTTCTATGGATGACGTATGCATTTCTTGCCATGATAGGATCATGTGAAGATACTATATCTTACTATGCAATGGGTTGCCTGAAAGTTCTGTTAAATTTCTATGGATGACGTATGCATTTCTTGCCATGATAGGATCATGTGAAGATACTATATCTTACTATGCAATGGGTTGCCTGAAAGTTCTGTTAAATTTCTATGGATGACGTATGCATTTCTTGCCATGATAGGATCATGTGAAGATACTATATCTTACTATGCAATGGGTTGCCTGAAAGTTCTGTTAAATTTCTATGGATGACGTATGCATTTCTTGCCATGATAGGATCATGTGAAGATACTATATCTTACTATGCAATGGGTTGCCTGAAAGTTCTGTTAAATTTCTATGGATGACGTATGCATTTCTTGCCATGATAGGATCATGTGAAGATACTATATCTTACTATGCAATGGGTTGCCTGAAAGTTCTGTTAAATTTCTATGGATGACGTATGCATTTCTTGCCATGATAGGATCAGGGCCTAAGAGTCATAGGTCCACAGTTACTGTTATTCTAGTCAGCTATTTTATAGAGATGCAGCTTGAATATTGTAGTGCTCAAGCTGGTGTTCTGGTTATCCTAAGGCTCTGATTATTATAACCTTTGCTCTGTGTCAAATGTACAGAACACTCTGTTCTTCCTTGGCTTCAGCTTTCTATGGCCACATTAAATTTGATAGGAACTTTAAAAAGTAAAGAAGATTAGAATATAAGAGAATCAGAATTCCAGTGTTAAAAGGTTTATTAGCCCAAGATTAGTTGCTTTTTAAGAAATCATGGTGAAACGCTTGCAGGCAGTCCCCAGTTTAAAAACGAGTTCCATTCCCAAGGTCTGTCCTTAAGTCAAATTTGTATGTATGCCGGAACAGAATTATTGTATAATACCATATAAGGTTTTTTTTATCTGTTCAATTGTATATAAGTAGTGTTGTGTAATCAGCTGGAACCATTGTGTATTTAACTCGGATTTTGCTACAATAGGCTCCGTTCTTAACTATGGGTCATCCATAAACTGGGCGTTCTTAACCCAGGGACTACCTGTATTTCCTCCAAGCACAGTACTGTATGTAACTCTGAAAAACCCGTTACTATGTATGAGCAAATAGAACAGGCCAGCACAACCCATGGAGGGGAAAGGACCCAACTGATACCTTAAAAATAATCATGGGCCACAAAGGAACACCTGGTGCCCTGGTCAGCTGTTCAGTGAGTAGTAGTGGTAGCAATGGAGCTGGCGATGTCAATGAAGCCTGGAGGTGTTGCAGGTACTCAGCAGTTTGTCTTTTGGGGCAGAGATGGCAGCGGGCTCTTCCTGGCAACAGTGACATTTGGTGGCAGTGGATTTGTTCTGAGTTTTCAGAAAACACAAGCAGGCCATATATGGCTGCTAGGCAGGCTACATGTTGTGCAGGCTGAAATATACTAAATAGACTTGTTTCTGATAAGGAAGCCAGGCCCACTCCAAAGCCTTGGAAGACTGGAACAGTGGAGACAAAAGAGCCTGATGCTTAGGGACATTTTGCTGGTGCAATTTCTACTTTTTTAAAGGAAATTTGCAGTCATGAAATGGTGCAAAGATACAGCTCCTTGACATAAAAAAAAGATAAAATAGCTAATTAATAAGGTGAGGATATAATGGTTATGTGAATTCTTTTCAGCTTGTTGCTATGTGTTATAGGCTTTTCTCAGGTACAACATAGATCCACAGGTGTGGCAAGCTGGGCCAGTACAGATTGTAATAATTAAAGTTATGACTTGAGAAAAAGGAAGATAAGTATGTTTGCCGATTGCTGATTTCTGTGTTTCCACACATAAAAGTTGTTTTATATATGCTTAACAAGTTAGCAACTTTGAGAGAGAGAGAGAGGGTGCTAACTTTTTTATGTTTTGTTTTTTTTAGAAGGCCTGAAGATTCAATTTGCCTTTTTTTTTTTTTAGCTTGTATTTGTTAATTTTCCTAAGGCTGTAATTATACTTCCAAGTCTAAAGTACATGGTACTCTTCACTTCTTAAGCAATCTTCTAGGAATCCTTATTTCCATCTTACAAAGAGGAACTGGTTAGAAAAGGGACCTTTTGTGGCACTGTGGTTCAGAAATTACGGTTTAATGCTTAGGATGTTGTATGATGCTAGCAAACCATGGTTTTAAAAGACCATTAATTAGCACAGCATGGGAAGCCAGCCAATGTACCAGAGTTATGACATTAGATACTATCCTTAAGATCATTAGTATTGGGATCAAAAGTAACATTGGCAGTGCTGTAATGCTGCTACCCAGTCTATTTGCTACACTGATTTGGAATATTGTATAGAGTTCTGGTTGTTAAATCTTTGTGAATATTGTGCATCTGGATAAAAGTCATAGAGAAGAATCAAATTTATCAAGGGATTGAAGCAACTCCCCTCCAGGCAAAATTGGAATGCATGTTGTTGATATTACCTAACCTAGTAATGAAATGCTGCAGAA